GGAGGGCGGGAGGGAGAAAGACGGCGGCGGCGGCAGCGGTGGCCAGGAGGATTCGAAACAGAAGGAGAAAGACAAGGGGCGGGACAAGGGGCGTCGGGGCCGGGACAAGGACAAAGAGAAGGACAAGGGGGGGCGGGAGGAGCGCAAGCGGAAGGCGTCGAAAGGGGAGAAGGAGCGGCACTCCGGCGGCAAGGACGAGGGCGGCGGCGGCGCGCCCAGGTGGGGATGGGGGAGGTGTGTTGCCTCAGGGAGGGAGGCGTGGCGTGCATGGTCCCTGGGCGGCTGCTCGACGGCGCGGGGTCGCCGTGCCGCTGCTGCGACCTGGCGAAAGGCTCACTGGCCTGCGGGGATGAGCGGCGCGTTGGTTTTTTGGTGGTGCCACGGCGCCGCAGCGAGCGGCCCTGCAGGCCGCTTGCTTGAGTGCCGAGCGCCGCCGGTTGCACGCCCCCTGCTCTCTCTCTGTGGCACCCCTGATAGTCTCATCCCGCATTCGTCCCCTCCGCCAACATCTCTGAACACCATGGTTCTCATATCCTCGCGCCCCAACCCCAATCCAGGGAGGAGCCAGACCCCAAAAAGCGGCGCACGAGCGCGGAGCCCCGCCCCGCGGCGGACAGCGGCGGCGGCGGCGGCAAGGATGCTGAGGCGGCCCCGGCCGGCGGCGGCGGCGGCGGCGAGGAGCGGCGCCGCGGCGGCGGCTCGGGCGGCGGCGCGAAGCACACGCCCGTCGTGTTCGAGGGCCGCCCGCGGGACGAGGGCGGCGGCGGCGGCGGCGGCGGCGAGAACGCCCCGCGGCTGGAGCGGCAGCGGTCGTCGCGGCGCTGACTCAGCGCGTGGGGCCGGGCGCGCGGCGGTTGGGCGGCGGCGCGCTCTGTGTGCGTTTCAAGATCGACGGCGCCGCGGTCGGCTGCGACTCTCCTGGCGGCCTCGCGCCTCCTGTGCGTCCCGGCCTCGATTCATTGTCCAATCAATCATTCCATTGTGCAACACGATTGTTTCGAGGCACTCGGCTTGCCGGTGCAGGTGCAGGTGTACACGCTGAGTCAGCAAGAGTTTCGGCCCTGGGGGTCAGCCTGCATGCAGACAACCAAATATCTCCCAGCAGACGCTTCTGCTGACCACCATGCTGTGCAGCGGCGCGTTGACTGGGTATCACGACAGGTGGTGCAAAGCAACCCTGCAACAGCAGGGTTGTGAGTTGACAGGAAGCATGCCCCGCGCGTCGAAAACGGAGGGTCTCTGCAATTCCCAAGGTCGTGCCGTCCAGCGGGTTCAGGGCTGGGCAGTGCAGCGCTTTGACCACCAGCTTGACCAGCGCACCGCGTGATCTGAGGAGCGTGGTCCGCCGCCTCCTGGGACTTCCTGATCGCTGCGGGGGGTCTGTGCGATCTCAATATCCCGGCGGCAGCCACATTTCCTTGTTATGACACATATGTAGGTCTGACAATTGGGCCAAACCGGCGGGGCCGGCTGGGGTCGTCGGCGCCGGCGGTGGCGGTGGGTGTTGGGGATGACTGTTTGCTGGTGGGTGTTAGGTAGGAGTGTTTGCTGGTGTGCGCGTTGGGGATGACTGTCTTTGGTCGACGGCTGGAGCGACTCGGGGAACGCGGCATCTGGGGCCGTGAGGTGCAAGGTGGTGCGCAAGGTTTGGTGAGTTTGCTGCGTCCTCCCCCCCCCCCTGTGGCCCACTTGAGGCCGGATCGCGCCCACTCAGTCGATCATCCACGGCGCCTTCCTGCCGCCCTGCCGTGTGGGTCTTTGTGCGCATGTGTTTCAAACCCTAAACCCTGCAGGTGTTTGTGCGCATATGTTTCAGGACCCCGCCTGAGACAGAGCAGCGACAACGGGGCCCTTGCGTGGAGCCGCCCCTGCGCCTCCTAGGCCGGGCGCTGTCGCGTGGCTGGGACGCGCTGGCCCCTCGCTGCCCCACAGCTGCTGTGGCTGTGTGGGTCTGCAGCTTTGCGTGTTCGAGCGCCCCTGTGCCTCGCCTTGACCGACCGCATCGATGTCATGCGCAGCCCGCCCCCTCTAGAGGGGCACACAGGCCTGCCAAGCAGCTTCGGCGGTTTTGAGGAATGGGCTGCGTGTTGGTCGCCAAGACGATCGCGGCGACCAGTGGAATCCTCAAGCTAGCCTAGCAGGGGGTTCTGGTGGCCACGGCTTCGCCTCAAGCCGAAAAACCTAAAACCCTAAACCCTTCGGTGGCTGTCCGTCTGCCGGCTCATTGCACGCTGTCAGTGGCCGCAAACGGCGGCTCACCGCACGTCACTAAAAAAAGGGGACAGACCACTGCGGGGAGCGCTTGCCTACAAAAACTCCAAGTCTGTCAGAACTTGCTAAAAAGTGACGACAGCAGTCTGAGGTCACGGGCTTCGGACGGCCTGCGCTTCTGCAATCAAACGGTGTCCCGTGCAACGGTCTTGGCCCTCGTGCGCAGTCACCGTCCTCTCTCTCAGCTCCTCCATCGCACCCAAGCAAGCACCCTGAACTTTACACAAGGAGCAGAAAAATGGTCGCTGGGCGACCCGAAGGGATGTGCTGCCCTGCTGCGCGCATGCGCTTACTAAAAAGAAAACAACACATCATACGCGCTCCAGCCAGCGCAGCCGG